AAGAATTTTAACATTGAAAAGAGATGCAATTTACTTTTAAGTAAATGTAATTGTTGAATAATTTGAAATTATAGTGAAGTCTTTCCATTTTCCTGTTAATCAAGCTCAGTTTCCTGCAGCTGTAGGTGTCATGTGTTTATAGTGTCCCATTACAGCAGACAGACATCATTTCTTCAGCACACAGCGGCTCATGCTGCTGTTGATATTATGTCTGTGTGTTTTTACCTTCAGAGATTTTGTGTACGTGTCTCAAGACCCAAAAGACCAGCTGCTTCTCGGGTGAGTTCCTGCCTCTTTTCTTCTTGTCTTTCTGTCTCAGGCCTGTGAGGTTTTGTGCTGTGGGTTTTGTTATTGCTGTGGTTTGGTTGTGTTGTGGCGTGTGAGTGAGTTTCTGACTGACATTCATATAGGCTGCAAAAAAATGACTCTTTGGTTTAGATTTATTTTTTGTTCTCTTTTTACATGCTACAGCTTCTTTATCTCCTTTGATATAACGATAGAGATTCTTAATAGAGACAGACTAATAATCAGTTAAGTGAGTATATTGTACCAATATTGACACTGTTATACTTTTAATTCTACTTTGGTTCTTGCACATCATGTTAAAAGATGAAGTAATTTATTCAGTGAATTGCTTGCATACATTAATCAGATTTTTACATACTGCTGTTCGAAAGTTTAGGGTTGGTAAGATTTCACTATAAAAATAAAAAATTATTGCAATTTAAAGGGTTAGTTCACCCAAAAATGAAAATTGGCTTGTGTTTTACTCACCCTCGAAGCTTCCTAGGTAGGTGTATATGACTTTCTTCTTTCAGACTAATCCAGTCGGAGTTATATTAAAAATTGTCCTGGCTATTCCAAGCTCTATCATTGCAGTCTGCGGGTGTTGCAGTTGAACAGTCCACAAGTCGTCAAATAAAGCGCGCGCATTCATAATAAAACGTGCTTCACACGGCTCCGGGGGGTGAATAAAGGCCTCCTGTAGTGAATCCATGCGTTTTTGTAATAAAAATATCCATATTTCAAATGTAATAAACACTTTTCTATCACTTCCATCATCTGTCATACGCGGAAGTCGTGCCGGCGGATGACGCAGCACGTCGGCGTTGCGTGATTAGTGCCGAACGCGGAGAGACAACAAAACAAAATGCTGGTCACGAATTAGAAGTACAAACCGAAGATTTGCAAAGAAAAATGTTGGAGGATTTCGATATAAGCCAAGAGGAGACTGGTTTTCCTTTGCTAAAGTAAGGAAACTTTGCTTCCTTTGCTCCTTTAAACAAACTCGCGAGACTAGCATATCTCACAGGCGCGCACTGCGCATACGTCATACACCTTCAGCCGGAACGCCTTTCACTTATGACAGATACCGGAAGTGAGAGAAAAGTGTTTATTACGTTTAAAATATGGATATTTTTCTTACAAAAACACATGGATTCGCTAGAGGAGGCCTTTATTCACCCCCCCCACCACCACCACCAGCACGTTTTATTATGAATGCGCGCGCTTTATTTGACGACTTGTGGACTGTTCAACTGCAACACCCGCAGACTGCAATGATAGAGCTTGGAATAGCCAGGACAATTTTTAATATAACTCCGACTGGATTCGTCTGAAAGAAGAAAGTCATATACACCTAGGATGCTTCAAGGGTGAGTAAAACACAAGCCAGTTTTCATTTTTGGGTGAACTATCCCTTCCATGGCATGGAACAAGCCATGCATTTAGCAATGATGTGTTTATACAATGCAAACATCATTGTTCTTAATATGCAATATAAATATTTTAAATTATCAAAATAAATGAGCAGCTGCTTTTGACGCATAATTAGTCCTGGGCATATGACACCACAACTACAGGGTGTACAGTGATTTATTCTTTCGCCAAATATTTTGTTAGCTTATTAATAAGTTAAAGGTAAGTATTTCCATTGCAGTAACGTTGATGAATGTTAATGAAAAAAAAAAATTACAACTCTTGAATGACAAATTTAAAACTATTTGCTCAGGCCGTCCGAGCCTGAGTCAGGTGGTTGCTGGGGGTTACTTCATTTATCAGCCTACAGTGTGATTGCTGTTTGCTAATGACACACATAGTTCACATTTAACTCAGGTCACTAGTTTAAGCTATCTGGTCAACTGATCAGGTACACACATAAATAGTTAACTAGAGTTAAGCCATTCGGCAAAGCCGGCCCAGGCTCACATAGATAGCAAACCAACGGTCTCACGGCTCTCCGGAGCAGTTGCAGTACATATGTCTTGGCAATAGGTGCTGCTTGTTCTGGGGGGTTTTATCTTTTATATTCCATCTGCCTTATAGGGATGATTTTAAGCATATTATTGTATAGCAGCAGCATACATATTTAA